TGAGGCAGAGCTTCCTCACTTCCCAAGTGTCCGCCTCATGTTTTGTCTAATAGCCGGCAGCGCCGGGCAGCGGAGTGGATGCGGACTTGTTTCATTGCACAATTCACGTTCGCCGGTTTTCACGATCTCTGGTTGATGCCCGTGGCGTGCCGTGCGGAAGCGGGTCAGTCCGTCATTGCTTTAGTGCTAAAAGCCGCATGTGGGGCAGCGAAACTCCACCAGTGGTGATCCCATCGGGGTCTCGTCGGCGGGCGAATTGTGTTTGGCACCCGTTCCCGCGCGCCGCCAGCCGCCAACAATTCCCCCGCCCCCAAAGCAGTAAACCGCTCCATCCGTGCATAGACGCGTCTGTCGCCAACATGGCAGGAGCTGGCGAGGCTGCCCCAAGGCAAACGAGCTCCTTCTCCGGCAATTTGCGGGGCCGCTCGAGCCGCAGTTTCGGTGCGTATGGCGGCACGTCTGCGGGATCGTGAGGACACGACAGTCGGGGATGCAATATGTTGAAAAAACAAGAGCTAATGTCAAAAGAGAGAATCCCCCGCACCGCCGCACAGCATCATACGGGGACCAGACCATCCACACCCTCAGCTGCATGCTTTCGGAGACACGCGGCCTCCCTCAATCCTCGTACTCGCATCGTGCCTCAAGGCGGCGCTCGTCGTCTCACGGCTGAAGGATGCACCAATAGATTCACAGCTCTTGACAAGGGCCCCGCTGAACCACACTCCTCCGCAGCCCACTGGTTCGGACACCCCAAATCCAAACAGAAGTCTCCTTGCCACGCGCGGCACCACAGACTGCGGTCTTACCATCTCGGGGTCTTCCGCCAAGACCCTCGCGGCGGTGCGGGGAACTTCCGGACAACATTCGTGGCCCGTGGGGGGCGAGTCAATTCCACAAGATCCACAAATCCCACTCGACAGCGGAAACTCGCCCGTGCATATCCGCCAAAAGAGCTGCCTGTAAAAAGGCGCATCCACATCCAGTAAAGCAGCGGCTTCGTCCCATAATGCGCCAAGATACTGCGAAATGTGAAATGGCAGAGCAACCATGACCCCGGCGTCCTCATGGGCGTTGCTTGCCTTTGGCCATGCGATGAACCGCCATCTCTGTCCTGACGGCTTGTCCAACACCGCCGCAAAAGGCGCCGCCGGTCCACCCCGCGACGGGCACTTCCAACGCTTCACAAATACTACCTGCCTTTCTCACAAGCAGCGCATGCTGTACGGAAATCCTCAAATTCAATTCGTTTCCTTCGCTCGTCGAGGTGACGGACCGTCGAGCAGCAGCCCCTTCGACCCCAATGCTCGGAAAGGATCTGCCCGAGCGAGGTGGCCGATAGGCGTCCGAACGGCGACGCCCAATGCGCAAGCAATCCTTACTTCAGCCAACCCCCCAAATCCGGTGGCCCATTCCGAAGCGAATGGATATATCGAGTTCCTGATATAAGGCGGTCCCCGCCGTAGACCCTCGCACCGTTCCCTTTTTGTGCAGAACCCTCTAAAGTCTTCGGGACGGTGCTCTGCTGCTGGCCCTCGCGGCAGACCGTGCAACTCAACGATGAAAGTTCAGTCGAGCTGCTGACCATATCCTGAAATTGTCTAAATAAAACAGCATACCACGGGGAAAGGAGGGGTGATGGAGAGGCAGTGGGTTCGCCACATCCTCGTTCTTTGCTCCAATTATATTTATATTTGCAGATATATATTATTATGATAAAAAATACCGTGAAATGGTGAGCCCTATCCGGACTGAAGATACTTTTTACTGGCGAAGTGGTACACTTTGGGGAATTCCAGCCAGCGAACCCCACCGCGAGGTGGGGAAACAAAAAAGGGGGTGAGTGGTACGGCAGAAACAAAAACAAAAATTTTCACCGTGCCGCTATCGGTTCCTTCACTCGATCCATCGAGGCCTTTAAAAAACACGTAAAAAAAAATATATTACAGAAATATATACTCATCTTATCAGGACATATAGCAATTCAGACATCCAGTTCTCCTCGCGAACAATTGTTTCAGAAACTCCCCTTTTGTGTTGCGGCGAACGTCATCGTGGATGCCACCGTTCTCACTTTTGGCCGTCCCATCAATTACTGCCAACACTCGGTAATCCTCAGCATGTCACCTTTCAAACTCCAAGGTATAGATTCCCCTCCCTCCCCCAGTTCACAAAATGAACTTCGTCCTGCCGCTCCCAAGCTCAAGACTAATACTTGGCAATGGGCGCTGTGTACACTCTTTCCAGTTCGGAAGAAATGAGCACTGCCCATATGTGTATTTGCAAAATCCAATCACTTCTCAAGTCATCACTGAACACTATAAAACTCTTCCACGCCTTTCTTAGTGGTTTCCAGCTGCTGCTTCAGTCGCTTATTCTCAGCAAGCAGTGCAGCCTCCCGCCCGCGATGCGCACGTTGAAAATTATTCATTTTATACTTGGCATTTTTCAGCTGCTGCTTCAGTCGCTTATTCTCAGCAAGCAATGCAGCCGCCTGCTCGACATGTGCACGTTGAAACCCTTCCACTTCCTTCTTGGTGTTTTCCAGCTCCCGCGCCAGTTGTTCCCTCTCTTCTTGGAGCACTTTCTTTTCCCCGTCAAGATCCTCCGTTACCATACTGAGAGATCGTGGTGCCTCGCACCCGTCCACTGGGAAGCCTGTTGTTTCCCACTCACAACTGTTCCGCGGCGTGTACGACGCCTCTGTTGGAGTGTCCAGGTTGCACCACTTCTCGGACTCACTTGACATGGCTGTGTTCAACCGAGGATGAAGGCAGCAGAAGGAAGAATATCCTTACTCTTTTAAAGCGCCTTGACACCCCAAATGTTATATTTGTATGCACTTATTTATACATTGCGCCAGAAAGAAGCGAATAAAAAAGAAAAGAAAAAATCAACAACTCAGTAAATAAATATATATATACACCGGTTCCTTTTTAGGGCAAGCCCTTTTGGTTTTCACAGGGAATTTTCTGAATATCTTCGCGCAGAATTTATTTATTTTTGTTAAGCCACGACCAGCACAATTGCATACCACCGCACACACAGATATATATATATATGTGCTTTTTGAATAAACGTGAAAAATGGATCAGCTTTCTAGGTAAGCCCGGAATTCTCTTGTCATGACAGGGCGGTCCCCGAGGACGAGCCAGAGTTCATGTGCGGTGAGAGTTTCCTGTCGCATCAAAAGTCCAGCCACCACGCGGGTTTTGTCAAGGTATTGGTTTAATATCGTCCGTGCCCCTTTCAAAGCCACTTCCAAGAGACGATGAACGGCTTGATCCACGACATCTTCCTTCACCGGACCAAAGGGTTTTTGAATACTATCTTCCTGATCCAATTGATATCCAAAGTGCCCAATGGTTTCCGGGTCCATACCATAAGTACAGACAAAATGTCGAGCCTTATTCGTTGCGGACTGTACATCCTCCGCGGCGCAGGTGGAGATGTCTTGAAAAAAGTATTCCTCAGCCACATATCCACCCAATTGGGCCACTAAATTCTGCATCAGTTGCTCCTGAGTAAAAATAAATGTTGTTTGCGGTAATTTTTGCGTGACACCCGTGCGGTGACGTCCACGAGGGAGAATCGTCGTCTTGACCACAGGGTCTGTCTTATCCTGAAACCAGTGAAGGATAACAACCCCGGCCTCGTGGAACGCAATACGTTCCCGCTCAGTCTCACTCAACTTCACTGCACTTCGTTCCAATCCAACCAAAACACGTTCAACCGCCTGATGGAAATGTTGTTGCGTGACATGGTCCTTCTTTTCACGAGCGGCCTGAATAGCGGCCTCATTGCAAATATTAAATATATCCGCCCCGCTACACCCTGGAGTAAGTGCGGCCACGATCCTTGCATACTCGTGGATGTTACTCGACGCCTCCAATTTTAATGGGCTCAGGTGGACCTTGGCAATCGCCTCCCGATCCTTATAAGAGGGCTTTTCAAGCGTTATTTTCCGATCAAACCGCCCAGATCGGGTGAGAGCGTTGTCAAGGATATCCACACGATTCGTGGCCGCAAGAACCATTATCCCAGTGGCGTCCTTAAACCCGTCCAGCTCCGAGAGAAAAGCATTCAACGTGCCCCTCGAGCTCCCTCCTCCTGTCTCTGTTTTGCGTTTCCGGCCAAAGGCATCAATTTCGTCCACAAACACCACACAAGGCTTATGCTCATGCGCCTGGCGGAAGAGCTCACGCACTCGCTGCGCCCCAACACCAACGTACACTTCCTCAAACTCGCTTCCGGAACAGCTAAGGAACGGCACCATCGCCTCTCCCGCAACTGCCTTCGCCAGCAGTGTTTTCCCCACACCGGGAGGCCCATCCAAGAGAACCCCCTTGGGGAGCTTTGCCCCTAATGCCTGGTAACGGGCAGGATTCTTCAAGAAGTCAATCACCTCCACAACCTCGTGTTTTGCCTCCGTTAAACCGGCAACATCCGCTAATCGAGTGGAGACGGAGATTTCGCGTTTAAAATTAAATCGACTCTTTTCTGCAACAACAGATGCCATTTTTGCCGAACGACTGAAGGTGGAGTTGGTCGCCGCTAGAAAAGGCAACAGACACAAAAGCAACATTGGAACCCATGGGTAATATGAATGGAATAAAATAAGAATATCCATGTTCTTGTCACAAGTGGCCTCAAATGCCCTGTAGTCCACAAAGTTTCGAATACCCAGATATTTTCCCTTCTCGTCAAGAAATGCCGCTGTATGCTTCGACAAATCTACAGCGATCGCCGCATAGTTATTGATTTCCCCAACCATATACGACCTCAAAACGTACATTCGAGCCATGAGAACGCCCGCCAAGAGAAAACAAACAATTCCTATCCGGCGTATTCGCTTCCATTTGAGAGCCTTAGCCGCCAAATTCATTGTTAAAATACGCTCCTCAGGTGACATGGTGTAGGCGCGTTTTACGGATTCCGCGGGAACACGCGTAAATGGCATCCTCCCCAAAATGTATTTTGAATAAAAGGCCTCAAAGCCCTTTGGATGACGCTTCCCTGAAAGAAGACCCTCTGTGGAAGACGTGGAGTTATTGAAGGGTCTCGACTCCTCTCCGCCCTCCTTTTCTTTTCCTACATCATTGCTCTTGTTACTATCAATATTATTGTTATTATCATTCTTCCCACCACCCGTGGCGCAAAAACGAACTCGCGTGTTCAGCGCATGGGCAAAAAACGGCGACGCACCAGTGACTCGAAGAACACGGAACATTTCAGGCTCCTGCTGCGTTTTTCACTCTCCTTCTCCTCTCTCTCTCTCGTTATTTCTGCTTCCTTCTTCTGTGGCTGCTTTTCCCCTCGTGACGGAGCGGTGTATGCTTGCGTGCGCGTGCCAATGCTTGCATACATTTTAAATGTCAACAGCAAATCCCCCACACACAAACAAAGACACGCAAAAAAAAAAAAAAAAGAAAAAAAAAAATCTGAAGCACCGCAAAAGACAAAACAAGCCAAAAACACGAAAACTAGTCCATAAAGAACAAGACACCCTGCCGCCATGTTAAAATTCATTCATTAACTGAAGAAACAGCAAAAAAAAAAAAAAGAACTAAATAGGTAAAACATCCCTCTCAAAAATACGCGCACGAACAATTTCAGTAGTGGAAAAAACAACAAATGCCAGAAGGAAAAGGAATCCGAGCAACGCAGCAATTTAGGAGCAGGCTCGTACCACAAACGAGTTGAATCGGCTCATTTGAGCATGGAGCTCCCTCGATGGGGCGTAGAAACGAGAGAGATGGGCCTTTGCTCGTTCCGCAAAGGCGCCTCTCTCCTCCTCGGAGAGTGCAAAGTAAGCAAGACGAATGTAGTCGTCCGCAAACTCCGAATAGTTTTCTCCGTAGATTTGGCGGTCCAGCTCCACCTTGGCCAATAGGTGTTCCACGCATTTTTTGTTGTCCTTCAGGCGATTAAATGCCCTCGCCAAAGCCATATGTGTTTTCGGAATCATAGATTGCGGGGGTCGGGGTGGTGGGCACAGGTGTTCCATGGCAATGGTATAGCTTTGCGACAAGACTGTGACAGCCACGTCATATTGACCCTCACGTATCAATCGGCACCCTTTCTGATACAAATCACTGGCTTGAATGTAATAACCCTTCTTTTCAACTGTGACGCGTTCCTCTTTGGTATCCACACAGGCCCGGCAGTTACATATAAATCCACATCGTTCAGCAAGGGCGCGACGCCGGAACTGCGCACTAACAGCCTTGTACGTTGTCATATTGTGATAGGAAATGGTAAGTTCCTCACCCGCAGGAATAGGACGTATGGCACGAATGGCGAGGTAAAGAGAGCAGCCAAGTGGATTCCCCACAAATGAGGCAAAACAGTTTGGGTCACAAGAGTGACGGTATTGCGAAGCAGACACATACAGCGCCTTCCCGACGGGTATGGGCCGCGACTCATCAATGAACGCCTCTCGAGTTTCAGAATTGATTGTTACCTGTGACCCTGTCCAAAACTTTATCTCAAAGCTGCACAACATCACTTGACGCTGAGCAAGGCGCAAACGATCCACATCCTCTAAACTCACGGCATCCAACACGAGTGCACAGAGGCTCACAGCGGTTTCATAGCCCCCAATGACGGCCGCAGGGTGCAACTCACCCGTAAAGTCCCCACGAAGCGAGTGACACCCGGAAACTGCACAATCAGAACACATCATGCGACTTGCAATCAGGGCATCGATAGGACACAACTGAAAAAAGGGGTTTGCGGTCTCGTGTTGGCCATAGCGTTCCCAACTCAGGCGGGCGCACACCTCACCACAAAAGAGCCCTCGAGATAATTTTCCCCTTTCACGATAGGCGCTTCCAGGATACAAGGCTTGTGTCACGCGTAGGCAGTAGCAGCAGCGTATGCCCCAATGATCATCATATAACGCATGGACAACGGGTGCTTCCGTGATAATCTCTCCGGGTTCCAAGTGCCTTTTTGCCTCTACCCCTTTCATATTACCGTTGTAATTGATGTCATTCAAATGAGGGGAAGAAATTCCTCCTCCAAGTAAATTCACTGCCTCATCCTCACTCCTGCCAAAATCTGCATGTAGGATTTTGGAGATTACAGTTGCTGCATTTGCAGAATCCACATTTAAAATGGCTGCCGCATGGATATCCTTTTTGCCCTCTTCTTCAAACCCCAGCTTTTGCAGGCATACACCACGACGCTCCAATGCCTCCCAGTTGTTTGGCATAACTGTGAAAGCAGCATGGGTGTCTGCCAACGCCTCCATAAAACGTGCTTGTGCCAAAAAAACTTTGCTGCGGTGATAGAGGAGTGATGCTAAGGTGTCATCTTGACTGGCATACATCACTCCCCGAGTGTACATTAGCACACTTTCGTTCATTTTTCCAAAATCATAGGCCTTATGTCCTTCTTCCTTCCACTTCTCGGCCCCATCATTGTTCAAATCAGAGGCCCCTTGAACCTCCTGCTTTAGATTTTCCAGCAGACTAGCAAGACGAGGGGCATCCTCCCTCTGCAAATGGGCCAAAATCTCCTTCACAGGACGAGTGCCGCTGTCGGGGGGCAATATCTTCGCGAGCGCCAGCAGCGGGTTTCTTAGCGTCCCCAGGTTGGCGGCCGCCTCTCGTCTCGCCTGGGCCTGAGACGCCACGTCGGGCGGCACACCACCGTTCATGTCGCCGTCGATCCCTCCCTTCTCTCTATGTGAGCCCAGAAGGAAAAAAGCAAAAAGAAAAGAAAAAAAAGCCGATCCTACCAAAGCAAGTGTGGGAAAGATATATATATATATATATATATATATATTTATTTATTTATTTATTTATTTAAATAAAAATAAAGAAAACGGGCAGTTTGCGGGCAAAACCGAAGCCGTGCACAACACAGCGAATCAACGCGTTGATAACAGCAGACCAAATGCTGTGTTCGGTTGTTGTTGTTGTTGTTGTCATATATACATATATATTGGCTCGCCTTTTAAAAAGTAACGTAACGACTTTGAGACATCCGCATCTTCTCCTTTATTTTTATTTTTATTTGTTTTTTGTTTTGTTTTGTTTTGTTTCACAAAAAAAAAAAAAATAATAATAATATATATTTAAAATTAAATAACACAAATTAACTTTTTTTTTTTTTTTCGAGGGCGTTCTTTGAGTGCCTCTTAATTCCGTTTCACTAACCCCCCTTTCCCCTCCCCTCTCCCAGCTTTTTTTCACCAAAAAGCCCTTCCCCACCGTCCACTCCCCTTTTACCCCCCTCCCTATAATGACACAAACTGGGAGAAAAGAGAGAAAAAAAAAAAAATATTAAATCCGCAAAAATAAAGCATGCATCCTATGCAAAGAAAAGTGCATATTTGTACAGGAATCGTGCGTGTGCATGCAAATCCTATATGTATATGTGCATATGTCACAAAAACAAGCATGCATCAGACCTCTATTCCTGTCCCCAATAGAAGCCATTCACAACACTTCCCAGTACCCTCACACACACACACACCAGCAAGGCGTGAATGCCCATTACATGCGAACCATTCTCCCTCTCCTCCACTCTCCATCCTTCAGAGTCCGCAGCTGCACCAATACTAACCGGAAAAACGTTATTGGACATTGGTTTAGTTGCGGATTCCGCATCATCTCCACATGTACTCCGCATTAATCATGTGTCCCGAAGTAGCGATCGCCAAAATCACCCAGTCCGGGGACGATGTATTTGGAATCGTCTAGAGCCCCATCGATCGCCGCGGTCACTACGTGGACCTTTGGAAATCTACTCATATACCGCCGGATTCCCTCTGGGCACGTAATAAGGTTAAGAAAAATAATGTTCTCCTCCGGCACCTTGTATTCCCGTATAAGAATATCTGTGGCGTGGATGGCGCTGCCGCCCGACGCAATCATAGGATCAAGAAGCAGCACGCGACGTCCAGCCACATCCCTTGGAACTTTGCTGTAGTTATACCGCTCATCCGGACACTTCTCAACTGTTTTCTCGTCCCGCTGAACCAGAATCTTTCCGATGCGAATACCGCGGCAAGTTTCTCGAAGAACGCGTTCCATAGACTCGCCGGCGCGAAGGATGCTGATGCCAATAATGCCTTGTGGATCAGGCATGCAGCCCTTGTAGGTGGCGCCGGTTGGTGTCGTCACATCCTTTGGCAGAACAGGAACCAAATCAAGCCCCGCCTCCACCACAAGACGAATGATCCGCTCGCAGTAAAACACAAAATCTGTGCGGGTTGTCTTCTTGTCGCGAATGACGGTAAATAGAAACCTCAGCTGATTTGTTTGCGGGACCAGGTGCAGTTGCGGAAATTCCTTCAGAAGGGACTGCTCCAAAGAACTGCCGTCACCGCAATTCTCCATCGTCACTGTTCTTTTTCCCCCTTTCTCTTCTTTTCGGTTTCTGCGTAAGTATGTTTATTTATATTTGTGTATTAAATTCACCTTAAGAGACTTCTTCTCGTGCCTGGTGCTGCCGTGTTCCGCCCCTCAGCGGCAGGCGAAACAAACAAGGGGGGTTAAATCAAATATCGGTGGAGATGAAAGCGTCGGCGCCTTGTGGGGTGTTGCATAAAAGGCATGCTTAAGAAACACTGCAGGGAGCGTGTCACGCACCCTTCCCCCATCCATCTCCCCCTCCCCACACATTCTCGCCGTTTTTTCACGGCAGTTATATTGCTATACATAACCAAACACACACACACACACACACACACACAAACAAACAACGCCACCACCAGCAGCAGCGGCAGAACAAGTACAGGTGTAGGTGGGGATGGAAAGAAACATGACCGACATATTGATGGGCGTAGCGAGAGAGAGAGAGAGAGGGAGGGAAAGGAATGTTTTATCTCTCCTTCTCGCGCCTCTCTACCTGCCGATTTTCAAAAGATTGCGGAAGTCCTCAAGGCTGATATTCCCGTCCTTATCAAAGTCGGCAGTTTGGATCAACAGCTCTAACTCCTCCTGCGAGAGCTCACCCAATCCAATGCGCTTCATGATATCCGCCAACACCTCCACATCCACAACACCGCGACCTTGCGGGTCGTAAATTTTAAACGCCTCCTTCACAGGATCAAAAGTCAAATTCTCCGCCGTCACTGTTGATGTGTACATCGCATGGTAGTTATCAATGATGCCCCATAGCGTCTCCACCGTAAAGTTACCATCCGCAGACTCCAGGAGGAATTTCAGCTCCCTGTTTGTCATGTTAGGGTAAAAGGCAGTGAGGCGCGCCTTCAGGTCGCGTGGTTTTAAATCCTTTTTGTTCTGTACATCAAAAAACGCAAATGCCGCCTCCACATCTGCGCGCGTGAGTCGAAATTCGTACTGTCTATTCTGCTCCACATGCGTTGAGGGACGGCCCCGCGGGTTCCGCCCCGAGTTCCCATGGGACGATGACTTCTGCAGCTTCCTGGCGGAATCCATTTGGTCTTTGTCACGGCCAAAACACTGCAGGGGAGAAGTAGGCAGCAAAAACAGAGGAAGAAATGAGCCGAGAGCAGAGGAACGGGCAAAAAAAAAAAAAAAAAAAGGGTCCCATCTCCCCAAGCAAGAAAAAAAAAAAAAAAGAAAACAACGCAGGCCAACTCCAAGAAATTCCCCCCGACAAAAATAAATAAATAAATAAATAAATAATGATCAGTGGTCCACACACACGTACACACCCGCGGAAGGGTGCCACGTGTTTAGTGGGACATGAAAGTGAAGAAGCACGGGGCAATGAGAATATTGAGCGTATCTAAGTAAGACCTCAAGATAAAAAGTGGAAACAGATGGATCGAGCAGACATGCAATTGAGTCGCTCCAGGTGTTAGAAATAAATAAACCGTAAAGGGGAAGTAAAAAAAGTAAAAAAAAAAAAAGATGTCAGATGGTGCCCAAATTTGCCTCTGTAGGTGCTTCGCATGAAGAAGAAGGAGGGGGATCGATGTGACGCTGCCTGTATGGCCCGCAGAGCGTTGTGCGCATCATGTATGCGACCAGGAGCGCCATAAACTGAGCACGTGTTTTATGATTATTGACCCATGCCATGTCGTTCGTGCCGGGGCCCCAGTCACCGCCATAGCGGCGCTGAATGGCACGGCGCGTTATCCTCCGTCTTGTGCATCCGCGACGCACTCGCAGGATGGTAGGCATCGCATCCTGCTCCTCTCGGTGCCGCCTGAATATGAGTCCCCAGCAGCTCCCAGGGCCGTAACAGCGTCGGCACCTCACTTCACCCTCCCACTTGAGGCCTGAAGCGGGGTCTGAATTGTCAGCACGCTCGAGATTGTCCTTTCCCCCATAGATGCACGTGTGCTTGGAACGCCAGAATTCCCCATCCTCAATGATGTACGAAGTAATGATATGACGGGCAGGTTCGCCAAGCCACAAGACAAATGTGAGACCACTATTACCCACAGGGGCACATGGAAGAAGCGAGACAAAGAACGGAGGGCTTCTCCAGTCAATTGGGACTCGCCGAGGGCCAGAAGACTTCCCAGCCTTTGTCTCTAATTCATCTGATCTCAACTTACATTCTCTCGCTGGCGAGAAAGTAAGTTTTTCCCAGAGTGCTCTTGCTTGTGCGGCAACCGCCCGCATTGCGGTACGTTGCAGAACCCGATAGTTCTTCATCTCTCTTCCTCTGTGAGTACTGCTCAAGAACACACTGAAAAAAACGTCAAGAAAGTTCAGTGGCCGAGGACATGCCATCCCAGCAAAGGTGCCGGTACGCCCCCCTCGATCCGCCGTTTCGATTGTTTGCTCGCGGGAACAATAAATGAGGTGGCGTGTGATAACCACAGGACCCACCTCAAAACGACACACAGGCAATCTGAAAAAGGGTTTTTCCTCATATTTTCCCGTATCGCCACGCAACCTGATGGTTCGGCCCTCCCCCACTTTTGGCGGTTGCCTGCGTACAACCCACGCCAGAACGTGGCGCATGCCGTAGGCGCCACTGCAAAACTGCATATGCAGCTGGCAACACTTGCAATTCGGGCAACGAACACAAGGGGGGAAGTAAGGCTCCTTGTCATGGTTACTGTGACAAACAGGGAAGGAGAAGTAACGGTACAGCGGGCTGACGGTGGAAGCAATGTCACTAAGACGAACGACACGTTGTGTAGATAAATTGTGGGGATTTTCCACGCCAGTGGGTGCCGCGACCACCTCCTCATCTCCTTGCTTGGGTTACGCCATGAAATCCTTCTCGTGGCAGGCTGCTTTCAGCATGTCTAGAAAGAGAGCTGCCACACGCCCAAATAGAAAGTAGAAAAAAAAAAAAAAAAAAACTTACAAAAAAGTTAAACCAGAGTCATGTAATGCAGGGAAAGAGGGAAACAGCACCCAACCAGCAGTCCGGGAAAAAAAGCAACATGCACACACGCACACACACAGGGCTATGGCATGGTCCACGTTCTTGTCGTCTCCGTCGGCTTTGCCGCCTGAAAGGCCAAGAAAAGAAAAAGAACAAAAGGGACAAAAAATATATATACACAAACCAAAAGAGTATGACAACAGCTGAGAGAGAAAGAAAGAGACACCAAGACCCCTGAAAGAAAAGAAAAAAAGGAAAAAACGGAATATAAGGAAGATCTGGTTTTAATATGAAGTGTCCACTAATTCCAGCGACTTCATTCCCCCCTCCTCCATCCACCACCACCACCATCTTTTGTTTTTGTATTATTTTCTTCCCACCTCCCCTCTTCTTCTCCCCTCATCCCGGGCCTTCCTCGAGCCACCCCTCGGCCACCGTTAAGTACCCACGGCAAGAGAAGCGTCCCAACACACGAGACCAGCGTTTATTTATGTAGACAACTGCTCAAAATTACTCCTGATAGCAGCAATGCGTCGGGCACGCAAATTTCAAAAGGGAGGAGAGGGACAACAAACAAAAAGATCAACAACAAAAAAAAAAAAAAAAAGAGTAATTTGACAACAAAATTCTCTTCAATTTCCAGCTACCCCGCGGCGCACAAAACACTCATTTTGTTTTTGTTTTTGTGTTCCCACTCCTCTTATTTTTCCACCTCATACCTACCCACCTACCCACCCCCTGCTTCACATTCCGCTACCGAATATGTGTGTTTTTTTTTTCTGTCACCATGAATTTGTGTACGCACATCGTTGTTGTTTTATTTTTATAGGTCGTTTATTTATTTGGTCCCCCCGCCCTTTTTTTTTTTTTTTTTTTAGATCTTTTCCACCGTGAGTTTTCCGTCCTGCTGTTCTCGTTCCTGTTCTTCTGTAAGCGGCCGCTGAAGTAAAAAAAAGGCACATCTATAAACCAGTTGCTTCATGCTTCGATTATTGTTTGTGTATGTTGTGTCAATAAACTCCGGTTGGCGAAGAAGGACAAATCCGATGCGCTGCGCCACTGTGAGCACCTCCCCTAATGAAAGCTCAATTGACATGTCATCTGAGGAATCCGCAAAGTGGTACAGAAGTGGCCCAACATTCACCCAGTACCCTCCTGGTACAAGAAGGTTGTAAATGATTTCTATGTACTCCACAATGTTGTGAGCCGTGTCAATAAAAAAGCAGGTCGCCACAGCATTCCAACTCTTGCGTTGGTGTTCCTTGGTGTAAACCTCCGTGAAATCACCCGCCACCATTGAGAGTTCACCAAAGAAATGCTGCTCCTCCTCATTAAGGCCGTCAATAGCCTCAAAGGCACACAAATCGGGAATGCGCACATCCACAAACTGATCCTCTCGGTTCACAAGATTACTAGTGTTGTCAACGTAGGGGTAGATGGTGTGCTGACAGGAGGACACAACGTGATTTTGAATGTAGTGCCCCGCAATAAGCATGTGGTAACTGAACTCATTTGCCTGTGCAGCAAAACCACGCAAAGCCAACTCGACAGAAAGACGGCATAAACCAGCGCCGGGAACAAGAATTTTCACGTCCGCTCGTGCCGCGCGGTCGGGGTAGGAATTCTCCAGTGTCGTAAGAATGGGCATATACACAGAGTTCCTTTCAGGGGCGCCCTCTGCGGACCAATCTCGCACAAACTGACGGAGTGTTGTAAACACCTTGTCAATATCTAGAGGGGTGGGCTCCGGGACATCCTCAGGCCGAACGGTGGTTCCCTTAGGCCAGTAGGTATCAAAGAGTTCCGAGGAGACGTTACAGATAGATTCAAAAAAGCAGCTGTTAGTCTCAATGCACTCAAGGTACTTGCTGAACATACGTTCCAAGTCAATGCACAGAGTTTGCTTATGCTGTTGATGAAACTTCATAAAGTTATTTAAACGCATATCTCGAACACCCATCGCCTGCTTTCTGTAGGAGCGGAAAGCATTAACGGTGCGTAAGAAGCTAATGTGGTCTTCGTGCATGTCGTCATTTTCACAAGGCGAGAGCGGCGGCCAATGAAGGTTGCCATCGTGTTGAGGAATAAAGTTGGGATCCAGCTCGGCCCCAAGCGGGTACGGCGGCGGCGCCAACGGATGGCCATCTGGTGGGGAAGTCATCCTTCTCTCTGCGTGCGCCCGGCAAACTCAAGAAAAAAAAAGCCCACAACAGTTGGTAAGACACACACACAACAATAACAACAAGAATAAAAATAACAGCCGCATGAACACCCGCAAGACCCACAGCCGTTGCAATAGTCGCACAAAATAGGGGGGAAAGGTGCACATGGAGACCCACCCCTTTCCATGCTGACCAAATATTTCTTCTCCTCTCCTCTCCCTTTATTCCTTCCCCCCAAAGGAAGCCAAGAATGGAACACCAGAGCCTCAATCACGTCAACACACCCCATTCGCGGAGGTTCACGTAGTCCTCAATTTCCCTTTTCAGTTCGTAGAGCGCCTTGTGAAGAACGTCAAACAAGGCAATGAGGGTCCTCCAGGGACCTTCCTGCGCGGCGAACCAGCGCTGCATCTCCTCACGCAATTCCTCCGATATACGAGTGGCATTGGATTGGCACCATCCTCTTGCTGCTTCGGTTATCTCCTCCACACGCTTCAACAGATCGTACAAAATATGGTATTCCTTGTGAAGAACGACATAATTGCCGTGTGCCGCAGCAAGTTGCGATGCGTTGACAATTGGCATGGGCTTTAGCCTCTGCGACGCACCAGAACCAACCGCGGTGTGTGCGCGCTTTCGCTGCGCCAGCGCCTCCTTTGCCGCTGACGACAAGACCCACCGCCGTTCGGTAAGGTCACCATCACACCATCGAATGCCGCACTGATCCATGTGGGTGAAAAGTGTCAGTGCTGCCCCCTGCGCTGTTTCCTCCCCTTTTCGTCCCAGAGTGCCCTCATCGCCCTCCGCATCCTCTGAATCATCTTCCTCTTCTCGCTTTCTTTTGAAGCTTCCCAGTCCGGCCATGATGCCCTTTGAGCAGACCGCCAACATCACGTCCCGATCTGCATATATAGCAAAGCGATCCAAAACGGCTTTATTGTGTGCAACCTTTGGAAGTGCCAGATTCGCCACCTGCTGTTTCACCGCCTTGGAGCTGTAGGATTCAATGTCTATGATTTCATAACCAACGTCCAAGAGCTCCCGCTGCCCACGATGATTCAGCACCGTAAGAGTGCTCAGCACAGCATTCAGCGCGTCACCGTCCTCAGCCGCAAAAGAGCGGCGAAGCTCTCTTTGATCCCTGGGTGCCGGTGCCAAGAGGTGTGCCACTTTCATCGCCATGGAGCGATACTGCTGCATGACTTCAGAGAGCGTGGCGGTTCTTTTGGAGGCTTCAGTAAGAGGCGGTGGATTCGTTTCCTCCGTTACGCTTGTGTTTGGTGGGCTCTTCTCCTCCGGCTGCACCGTCATCCTTTTCACAGCATCAAAACGAGATATTTCTGCTTTCCCATTGGCACCAGTCTTTTGGTGTCTGTACGAGCACAAGCGTCCTGCATGACGAGTGCAGTGCCACTCAACTCCCCCTCTCGCGTCGCGGAAGACAACGATTTCATCGTTTATTCGATTGAGCGTCACGGCACCGCCACGGATGGCATCAATGAGGTCTGCCGGAAGTGTGCCTGCTGCGACAGGCTTCATCCGCGGGTTAGCCCTAATGTATGTGTTAGCTGAGCCAATCGACTGTGCGTGTGTGCGGGCCCACGGACTCTAAAAGAAGAATTGGCTCAGAAAAAAAAAAAGAGGCAAAACACGGAGTGCAGAAGACAGAACCTGGACACGCACGTGATTGAAGAGGCAGAAGGGTAAAAAAAAAGCAGAGAAGCCGGCCACCCCACTCCTAGCACCCAAAACGCGGTGAACATCACTAACACGACTCTTCAGGAATAATATACGAATAATTTTATAATTGGAAATCATAAAAAAGTGGAATACTCAAAAAAAAAAAAAAGGAAAAAAACACGCCATCCGCTCTTTCTCCCTCTCTTTCTCTCTTTCTCATTCTTTCACTACCCGTCGTGGCCCTCTCTGTCCAACTTATTTACTAGACGCCGCCTAGGGTCATCTTCCTCGCCAAGCAAGGCGTTCCTCCAGCGCACAAGACACCCAGGCGCCACTTCCTTCAACACACGCCTCACTATGGCGCAGGATTTCTCGGCAACCAAAAAAAGAGTTTGCGCCACATTCATTTGTATTTCTTCATCTGAACTCGCGGCATGTACAGAGACGGAACGAATCATATCTTCTGTGGCAATATCAAGCACCTCCGTGAGATATCCCACGAGAAACAAAACGCGCTTAATAATCTTCTTGTCACATCCATCCAGAGACTCGCTCCTTAACACTCTGGTGATGACTTCTATTCCCCCTGCTTTTTTGAATAAAAGGGCATTCGGAGAATATTCACGGCAAAGACAACTGCAGCTGTGCAGGAGAGCGGCGAACACGGCGGGAGCCTTTTCCTCCCTCAGCAATGGAATCAACACCTCCTCCCACTGTGCTTCCTCAAAGCACTTTTGCACTCTTTCGTTCAGCTGCGCGGCGTGAGCAATGACCATCGCTGCGCCCTGACGAACCGGCTCGCTTTCCGCTGTCAGTTTTCCTCTGCGCAGCAAATCCAGCATTATGCGGTGGCCATTCATGAGCGAGAACTCAACAGCCCAATTGATGTCTTCCACTAATTCGCTCAGCTCCTCCAAGGCCGCAGCACAATCGTCTTCCGTGACGCCATCGCGTGCCACCGTCTCCAAAAGACGTTTGATCTGCCGCTCCGGTGCCTCAACAGACGCCAGTGCCTCCTTCAGCCACTGCAGCTCCTCCGAGTTACGACGCGGGAGTTGTTCGCGATCGCCGCTCCCCGATCCGTTGCTGAGCGACGTGCAGAAGTTCAGCAGCGCCGTGTTCATGGACGGATCGTTCGACATTTTTTTTTTTCTTGGAAGGGGCTTCTCACGCCTCTCTTCTTCTTTCTCCTCCTTTTCCTCGCCACACACACACACACACACACCCAAAAAAAAAAAAAAAGAACAAAAAGCGAATTGGATCCCACGCCTCGCATTGCCAGGAATGGCGTGGCAAGGGAGAACAAAAAAAGATACTCAGCGGCTGATAAAAATCGTCCGAGAAGAAAATCAACCGCCAGAAAAAATACGACAAGAAAAAAAAGAAACGGATACATGCTCACAAAAAAAGAAGTAAAAAAGTAAAAACGATATCATTACCTGTACGTGAGGCTTCTAACGCAGAGGCATAAAAAGGGCAAAAACACAAAACTCGCTGCTCACTCGCCCTGCGAATCACCGCGTTTATTTGTGTTCCGCTTCTCCTCCTTCTGTGTGAGGTGTGCAAACAGCTTTGGATGGGCATCTACGGCATTGTCATCCCGTTGCTCCCCTGCCTCCATTTGGGGCTTGGTTGCACCATTCTCCATGCCGCCCCCCAACTGCAACGCGGCCGACTGCCGTACCTGCTGTATAAGCTGGGAGACCGAAGCACGAAGTGCCGCGTTTTCACGCCGCATGGCGGCTACAAGAACCCCCCGTCGTTCGTAGTCCTCTTGGAGAGAAACAAATCTCTCGCCCAGCGTGTCTAGCTCCATCTCCACCCCGCGAAGCTTGCGGATGAGCGACCAAAAACTTGTCGGGTCGTCTTCGTCCGTGAAAACCGTTCCTGGCGTTCCAACACCTGTTGACTCCTCCCTGTTCTTGACAGGCGAGACTGCACCAGCCGTGCAAAGGCGCCCAAAAAGAATCTCGCAGCGTCGCTTGAAAATAAGAAGTTCATCCTCCTGCTGCTCCACTTTCCCCTGCAGCTCAACAATTGTCTCTTCCTTGCGATCCAATTCTTCCTGAAGCACACGGCTGTGTCGCTGGTACGCTAGCAGCTGTGCCCGGAGTGAGATTTCACCACTCGTGACAGGCTCCGTCCATTTTGCCGTCAGCAGATCAACCCGGTCGGAGAGCGCAAGAACCTTTTCCCGCAGGTAATTGTTCTCTTTCCGGAGGAGGCGGAGCGAGTCAATTTCAGCCCGCTTCCTAATGAGCTCCTGCCGCAGCATTTCGACGCTGGCCTGCGTGGCATTTTCGTTCTCCCGCTCCACCAACGACGACGATTCCACCATCATTACTAAAAAAAAGAAAAAAACAAGCAAACGGAGAGGCAAAGAAAGAGAAAAGCGGAGTGCAGTACACGCCAAACGCACAAAAGCAGAAATATATACACATGGGGAAGAAGAAGAAGACGGCAATAAAAACAAAAAAAAAAGCAAAATTTCCGTGGCAAAAACCAAAAGCAATCAATAAGCCGAATTCAGAGCAAAAAGGAAAGGTGTAGTGGCATCTAAAATGCCTGGTTCCACTAAGCAGAAAACCCCCTTCCGTCACGATCACCGATACCATGTTGATCTTTCCGCAACGATTCTTGCCGACTCCTCCCGTTGATCGCGAGCGGCTTGTTCGCGCTGCAGCCGTTCCGATTCCTGCTTTTGCTCCACAGCTGCCCTCGCCGTTTTGCGTTCCTCCACAACACGACGATGTTCCTCCTCGCGTTCCCTCTCCCGCAACAACTCGCGGGCACGCTCCTCCTCTTCTTCCTTCCTGCGCCGTTCCGCCGCTGCGCCGCGTCGTTTTTCCCGTGCTGTTTCAATTGCCTGAATAATCTCCTGAGAAATACCCGGCGGCGCGCTAACTGCAAGGGTAAAGGGGCAAGATGAAATGAGTGCCGTTTCAGAAATGGACGGTAAAGCTGTTGCTGTGAGGATCCACGGTCGGTTCTCCCCAAAGAGATGGTACGTTAAACCGTCACTAATCGTCACGGGCACTTTGTTCCCCATCAGTTGGCGGTACAACTTCCTTAGCACAGCAACAACCTCAGTCTTCATGGGGGTCATCAACACCACGTCCTCAACCGGTTCAAAAGGCTCCCCGTGCACGCAATTGGGGCATACTCGCACCGGTTTGCTGTGTCCGAGAAGTGTAGGGAGCGGCCGATTGTACTGCAAACATTTTTTAGCACAGCAAAGACGACCGCAACCAGGACAGTTCTGTTTCGTCGCCGCTGGTAGTAGTTTCCCCCCACAGCATTCACAATGATAAACCTTTTTACTGCTTTTGGCTGTTGTATTTCCCACAATTGGCCGATACGGGACGGTTGGTTGGTAAAAGTGCAACAGGAGAACCGTATCCGCATGTGTGGTGAGAGAAATCCCCGACAATAGACGCAAATCCAGTCGCTTCTGAAGAAGATACCTCGTTATGGTAGAATTCGAAGGTGGTAGAGGGTGAGCATTCTTCTTTGTGGGCTTCGCAGCGGGCTGGACAATGGTTTCCAACCGTTCTTGTATCATGTAGACAGCCAAATCTGTTATAATCAAAAAGTTCTTCTCTAGTAGAGCCTTCTGATGATTGACAACCCGCTCCACAAGGGCGGTAAAAACAATTTTTTGCGGAGACATCTCACGTGGACGTTCCCACTGACTCTGTTGGAAAATCGCATTATGGTAATAGCGCTTCCCCGCTTCTGTCCAGAACTCCTTCCAAGCGCTCCCTATGGGGTTAAACTCCACGTATGGGTGAAGTGGCTTGAGTCGGTTGCGGTAGTCGAGATAATCACCAAAAAAAGGGCGGAACACACTATCCGCCCGTCGTGTCTTTCCGGCCTTGAGATACATACGCCCTATGGCGCTCTTCATGAGAACGCTGTCCTTATTCTGCTGATAACGGCGCCATGCGCGTTGAATCTTAAAGACAATATTGTCCAGAGCGTTCTCGCGAAGGTCCTCAAGTGTGAATAGGTGCTGTGGTTGTCGGATAAATACTTTTTGCTGGCCCAACTGCCATGAGCCCTGCGGTAAGGCATCTCCGACATGTCGCAGGATAGCGGCACAGGCATCACGGTCCGAGCCTTTAAATGAGCGTGGAAACGTCTCAGAACTAACATATTTGAAGCGCTTGAGAAACTTGTCGAAGTATTGCCGATAACTGTACCCTGCTCGACGAACACGAATGTTCTCGAGAAGACCCAAATACTTTACTTGGTGCAACACCCGAGCCTCATCCAGAAAATCACGGCGCTTCTCATCATTGGATTTGATGGTGCGCACATAATGTGGGTTGCAGCCCATGAGCGTCTTGACAAGATATGACGCCTGCTGCCGCATCTTAAATCCTGCGGTAGTCACACGTGGTTTCTTTCCCACCGTGCGACCTTGTGCTGCTCCCGCAATGGTCTCCGCAAGAATTTTTAACAGAAATTGGTTGGAGCTGGTGCCAAGCACCAAGGCAATGTCAGCACCAAGAAGATCTTTATTGCGGGTTGTGAATCCCTCCGCATTGTAATAAACATCTCCTGCGTAATGCTTAATACGAAACCCTCGTTCTGTCCTGTTAAAGTGAGGGTTACCAGTATGCACGGCGTCTAGTTTGTCAAGCATCTTGATGTCAGCCACGGACTCTTTTTCCTTCGCCATCGTGGCACACACATCGTCCATGACGGAAAAGAGCCCGGGTGGCTGCGTCCCCTCAATAAGCTCACAGACAATCTTGTTGTTGAAGTACTTGATCTCCTCCCATGGTATCTTCTCCCGCACGTACTCCTCTTGCTCAACCTTCAACGTTAACTCAATGAAGATCTGCTGCAGTTTTTCATTGACATAATTAATGCAGAACTGCTCAAAACCGTTCTTTTCAAAAATCTCAAATCCGTAAATGTCAAGAACGCCAAGCATTAAGTCGTAGGGCTTCTTCCCCAAAGCCACATTCACCGACTCCACGACAAAGTCAAACAAGTGGTGGTACAACGTCTTCGCGAGGGCGTCGCGGGCATTGCGGCACTGCTGTATGTCAAGAGGAACGTTGACCACCTCGCTGGTGCCCATTTCTAGCCGCTTCCACGTGAATGCCCACTCAAGCACTGCCGCATCTACACCCAACAGCATGGCGCAAAAATTCAGTTCCTCCGGATTTGAAACCATCAATGCGGCGTCTTCACGGTCTGCCGCAGACGGGGCAAACTGCAGCTGCCCAAGGTGGAGAATGAGAGCGAGTGTGTCAAAGATGGACTGCTGGTCCGACATCGAAATCGACATCGCTTCCATGGCCGCAAGTGTCTCCGCCCACTCCTTCGCGTCGTCAACGCCATCACGATCCAGCGTGCCGCCCTGATTCAAGTAGAAGAACTCACCCGGGGGCCGTAACCGCAGTCGCTCACGTAGCGTCGGACTGGCCCCGTGGCAAAATTGGTAGAACACGTGGAAGCTCCGCTCTCCCAACTGCTGGCTAACAACTCGTGACTTCTCCAGAAGAAAGTTCGACATGCGCCCGCCAACAGGGCCACCCATGCGATCGAAAAAAATTTCAAAAAACTTCCCAAATCGAGAGCTGTTGTCATTCCGAACGGTCTTTGCGTTGCCAAAAGCCTCCAACAACGAGTTGGATTCCAGAATAACACGCTTCACGTGCTGCATTTCCACTGTGTTACCAGAGACAGCCGAGATGTACTGCATGATCTGCTTGGACGCCTCCGTCTTTCCCGCTCCCGACTCCCCTGATATGATCACACACTGATTCTCCTCTTCTGACACCATGGTGCGGTATGTCTCCTCCGCCAAGCCAAATATGTGCGGCCCACCATGGGTGATCCCAAAAGTACCGCCGCTACTCTTTCCACCACTCCGAAAGAACGCGATGCGCTCCTCACCGTATAAATTCGGTATCTTTTTAAATGGGTTTACACTTAACAAGACGGGGCCAATACTTGTGTAGATGATGTCCTTGCTGTGGCGCAGCTTGAGGTTCTCCATTATGGCCTTGTCAGAAAGCTGTGGCAGCAACACAAGATCCTCCACCCCGACCACAGCTGACTTCTTAAAATCAACACATGCCATCACGCCAGTTCCTCTCTCCCTTCTCGCTTTTTCTACAATAGAGATATATATAGATATAGATATAGAGAGAGATTGCCTACGGGAATCACTACTTATTGCTGGGACCTATCCCTCTCCCTCTTTGGCGCGTCCCTGCCTCCCCCTCCACAAAAGTAAAGAATAATCTTCTGTACCGCTGGCCGTATCCTGAAATTTCCTATAGAAAACAAACAAGGTATTGGAAAAAAAGAGGGTTATCGCAAAGTTAGTTAATTGCCTCAATGTTTTCTTTTTATCCAATAAATAAATTCGATTGACCATTCGCATGGTCTTTTGTCCTCAGTTAGAATCTGAAAGATAATTACTTACGAAGTGGCAGACTTTTAGGGTCTTCCGAGCAAAAGACCCCGCCGCGTGGCGGGTATCAAAAGGGGGTTGGGTTGGATAGCAAAACAAGAATAGAATTGCCTATTCGCTGTCTGCTCCCTGCTCCCCCCTAAAGTTGTGTTCTTCCCACGTTCATAAGACAGAAAAGTATCATAAAGAAGTGAATTCGTTATTATCAGGATTTAAAATTAATTAAGTTAGCCAGCTTTCCCGCAATTCTCTTCACAAACTCCTAAAAAAGACGCGCGCCGGCAAAACAATGCGCAACCGGAAAAAGCAATACACAAACCCAAATACCTGTGTGCTCAGATAACGGCAGTTGGCGTTCGAAAAAGGCGACAGTGCCAGCGATACCTGCGTAAAAAATCCAGAGATCGCCCGAGCTGCTGACCATATCCTGAAATTGTCTAAATAAAACAGCATACCACGGGGAAAGGAGGGGTGATGGAGAGGCAGTGGGTTCGCCACATCCTCGTTCTTTGCTCCAATTATATTTATATTTGCAGATATATATTATTATGATAAAAAATACCGTGAAATGGTGAGCCCTATCCGGACTGAAGATACTTTTTACTGGCGAAGTGGTACACTTTGGGGAATTCCAGCCAGCGAACCCCACCGCGAGGTGGGGAAACAAAAAAGGGGGTGAGTGGTACGGCAGAAACAAAAACAAAAATTTTCACCGTGCCGCTATCGGTTCCTTCACTCGATCCATCGAGGCCTTTAAAAAACACGTAAAAAAAAATATATTACAGAAATATATACTCATCTTATCAGGACATATAGCAATTCAGACATCCAGTTTTCCTCGCGAACATTCATTTCACAATAACCCATCACCGCGCATTCAAGTAGTAGAAAATAAAAATAAAAAACGTCCCATCACAAACACACGGCGACGCGGGTCCCTCGTGGAGACCCTCGTCAGAGTACACAACGTAATTCTCTTCCTCCTTCCGTTTCTTCTTGCCTGCTTACCATCTATTCATTTCTCCCTGGGCCGGGGAACAAGCGTTCGCCCACACACACAGAGGGGCAGCAGATGCACACATGTCTTTATAGCACCCGCTCCACCTCTAACAGCACTGGGTAACACAGGGTGATTGGACGCAGCCACAAAAACAACAACAAATTAAAAAAATAAACCAAGGAAAGTAACCCAATCAAGTATTGCAGGGAGGTCATCCACAAAGCTGCATGGCACGGGGCATAGTAGAGCAGAATACGCTTGTTGGTCTCCAGCGGCGCATGCAGACGGTGGATGCACCCGCTATAGCATACGCAGAAGCACGACGGCGACAAATATCAGGCACCATCCAATCACAATGATGACAAAGCCACCACCGTATTTCGAACATGTTTTGAGCGGTGTTCCAAGGCAATTGTCCACGTCATGGTTGTAAAAGTAGGCCATGGGTATCCAAACGAGCCCAACCGTCACAATGCTGACCACCAACAGCAGGGTCGCAAAGATCTTGAGAGATTTTAGGCAGAAGTGTGCCGCCACGCCAAGTGCGGTGGCAGCAAGCAGCAACAAAATGGAAATAATGGAGAACGCCTCGGCCATCCTGAACAGCCTCAAGACTGAGGGGCATTCACGAAAATCTTCCCCAACGGTGAATTCATACTTCGTGCTGTGGCAGTCTTCCTTAATTCCCCACAACGTCATGCACGGAGTGTTGCCAGTGGCTCCCTTCTCTTTCGCGCGGAACTGGTCTATCGGCGTCCCAACCAGCACGAACAGGAAGGCAAGGAAGCCCACCGCACCGTAGAGAATCGCGCCAAGTTTGCTCATTGCTTCCTACGTGAGAGCTAGGGTTGAAAGCAGGGGAAAGAAAGCTGTCAGTGAGAGCAGTGTCCGTGGGACGTCCATGCGACAGTCACCTCTGCACGCACAGGGGCCAACAAAACAACAAGACACCTTCGGGCTGCACACATGGCTGGCTACTGCCAACAGCAAGCCGCTGTGTGAAACACCTTCTGTTGGAACATCCAGACATCCGCAACTGCATTGTACATGACTATGTCTCGAAGAGCCTCGTTGCGTAGGCTGGAGTAGTCGTATCCCTCGCTCTGTCCTTCTTCAAACGGAAAGCGTGCCAACTTTATGACTGCCTCGCGAAGGGAGGGATCCTTTGCCCACGCTGCCTGTAGCTGCCTCATGGCCTTGACAAGCTTCTGGTTGGTGTATGTAGTGGCAGACATGTGTGCGTGGCGGACAGCGGCGAGGAGTTCATCGAGGTCGTTGCTGTTTGTCCCGACCACCTCAACGAAGTGTGTTAGCTCGAGCGGGTCGATTAGGTGGTGTGTGTAGCGGAAGGCCTCCGAGACGGAGAAGTTGGGGACGAGGTGGAAGTCGAGGCGTGGAAGGGCCGTCATCGCGATGGTGAGAGATTCAATGGGCACCTCGATGATGACGTGGCAGAGTCGTCGATCGCACGCCAATGCCACAACTTCGTTGTAGATGCGAAGTGGCGAGCTGCCGTCACGAATCTTGAGCAC